TTTATTATATAATTGTTTTTAATTTAATAATATACTTATTATAAATTATTAATAGAAAAAAACTTCGAATCCAATATTACAATATTATTTTCTTATCTTGTTTTACACATCAAATAAATTTATGTATTGGAAAAATTTTTAAAACTTCACCAGAATTTAAAATAACATCAGATAGAGTATTAAAAATAGCAGCATATTTTAAAAATGCTAATAATAAATATTTTATTGGTCAGCTCTGAGATATTCAAAAAGAAATTTATAGAAAAAATATTCAACCTTCAGTTTCTAGAGATACTAGATGGAATAGTTATCTTAGTTGTTGTAAAAGTTTAAATTCTACTAAAAATGCTTTACAGGTAATTTTTTAATTTAATAATTTCATAAAATTTAATTTTAATTAATTAATTAATTATTTTGATATAATATAGTCTTTAGCTACAAAATTTGAACCTTCTACTTCTTTAATTAAATGTTAGCGTTTAACTGATCTATTAGCAATATCTTGTGATATATATTTAATAATTATGAATGAATCTTTTTAAGAATTATTAGTAAAGTTAGAACAACTTTTAATTTCTTATTGTCATACACTTAATATTTTACAAACTGATAAAGCACGACTACATGAAGTTTTGCATTGCTTTGCTTATTTATATCAATTTTGGCAAAAATCTTCAGATAGAAATCTGGCTGAAAAAATTTTAATACGATTGCAAAAAAGATGGGAATTATGAGAACAACCTCTTCTTATTCTTTCTTGGCTTCTTCATCCTAATTATAAGACAAAATATTTTGCATTACCTTTAAAATCACAAATAAGTTATTCACATATAGGCAAATGGTTAATTTATTATTACAAAGCTTGGACTGGTCAAGTTCCTGAAAATATTCTTAATGAATTTGATGATTTTTCACAAGGAATTAAATATCCTTTTGATAATGAATCTGTTACTCAATTTAAAAATAATATTTACAAATACTGGTGTTGGATTCAAGATGCTTATCCAGAAATTGGAACTGTTGCAACACGCATTTTTAGTATTTGTATTAATTCAGCTTCAGTTGAACGTTTGTGGAGTAGCATGGGATATTTTCATACTAAAAATAGGAACTGGTTAAAGGTAATGTTAAAATATAATTTTTTAAATAACTAAAATAAGTAAATTAAAATAATTTATATTAATTATATGTAGTTTATATGAGTATTAGAAATGGCTAAGTTGCGAGCTGATATTACTTATAATCGATAAATTAAACAAGAATTTAAATTAGCTACTACCAAATCATTATAAGAAAATATACATATAAATATACATAATAACGAAAGTGAAAAAATAAATGATATGATTCTAGATGACGAGATTTTATTAGATATTGAATCTGATTTAATTGAAGATGACTCCGAGGATCAAAATGATGAAAATTTAGAGATAGATCTTACTTCAAAATTCAATGATCATTTGAGTGAATGGTTGGATATACTTCAGCAAGAGATTAATTCTGAAAATGAGTTGGATGATGATTTATATGATTTTGATATAGATATTGAAAATATTGAGCATCCAGCACAAAATACTAATGCAAAATGGAAATTGGAAAATATATTCAAGTGTGATTTAAATTGTTCTTTTTAAAGGATCATTTAATTTTTTTTGTTTATTTCTATTATGATTTATGTATGAATTTACAAATATGTTTTATTATAAATAAAATATAATTCAAAAAAAAAAATTAGGACTTATTTTCTTTTTTATTAAAATTAAATTGTACAATATTTACATAAATGATCCTATAAAGAATACTAAGAAAAAGAAAAACATAACCTCTCACTATTTATAATTACTTTCAAGAACCCATTCCGATTGGCAATAACCTTAGAAATATAAAAATGTTATTAATCAAGAATGAAGGCCTTTAGATTCTAAAAAAAAGTAAGTATATTTATTAATTTTTTAATACAAATAAAAAAATTTTGACTGATGATTCTATTTTTTTTTTTATAGGAATTTACCTTTTATTCTAAGAGTTGAAAGTCCTTCGAATTCTACAAAAAGGTAAGCAGAAATTATTTTTTTAAAAAAAAATAAAAAATAAAGATTAATTAATGCTTCCTCTATATCTTCTAAGGAAACTTACCTTTAATCAAAGATGAGAACCTCTGAATCTTACAAAAAAATAACAATTGTTTTTTTTTAAACAAGTTAAAAAAAATTAATTGTTATTTTCCTCTGATCTAAGACAAAAATCTTTAGATCCTACAAAAAAAGATAAGTAAATTATTAGTTTTTTAATACTAATAAAAAAAAATTTAACTGATACTTTCATTCTCCTTCTATAGGAACTTACCTTCTATTTCAAATCTTGAAAGTCTTTCAAATCTTACAAAAAGGTAAGTAGAAGTTAATTTTTTAACTAACATTCTCTCTATACCCTTTATAGGTCTATAGGAACTTATTTTTGATTAAAGATCTTTGACCTACAAAAAAAAGGTGAGTAATAGTTAAAAAATAATATTAATTGCTGTTTTCATCTTTCTATAGGAACTTATTTTCAAAAATAATAAAAAATTAATTGTTATTTCTATTTTTTCTCCATAGGAATTTACCTCTGATTCAGGATGAAAACCTTTGAATTTTACAAAAAAAGGTAAGTTAATTATTATTTTTTTTTAATATAAATAAAAAGATTTCGACTGACGCTTCCATTCTCCTTCTATAGGAACTTACTTTCTATTCTAAGCCTTGAAAGTCTTTTGAATTCTACAAAAAGATAAGCAGTATGTTATTTTTTTTTTAAAAAATAAAAAATATATATATTAACTAACACTCCCTCTATACCCTCCATAGGAATTTATCTTTAATTAAGGATGAAAACCTCTGAATCCTACAAAAAAAAGGTAATTAGTTTAAATAAAGTTAAAAAAAAATAATTGCCATTTCCATTTTCTCTCCATAGGAATTTACTTCTGATTCAGGACAAAAACCTTTGGATCCTATAAAAAAAGGTAAGTTAATTATTGTTTTTTTTTAATACAAATAAAAAGATTTTGATTAACGCTTCTATTCTCCTTCTATAGGAACTTACTTTCCATTCTAAGCCTTGAAAGTCTTCTGAATTCTACAAAAAGGTAAGCAGAGTGTTATTTTTTTTTTAAAAAAATAA